TTAGTTTGTGCCTTCAAGTCGTTGCCCATAGGAAGACGTTACTTGGATATAACCTAACGGAATATCTTCAGAACGGCTCCAAATGACACAAAACTCATATGGGTGAGTAGAACATGATGTAATAATGTAAAATCAAGGGCCCAATGTAAAAAAAAAAATGGTGTTCTCCTTTAAGCACTAGATGCAGTTTTCAGATTCTGAAAGGTTCATCTCTGCCATCGACAGAACCATTTCTACCCAACTCCAACTGAATAAAACGTGTCTGCAGGTTTTCTGCGTAGCAACTTTATTAAATCTGTTTAACGGATAGAGTAGTTTTCTATTTTTAATGGGAAAAAACATTGAATATTTATGGTAAATGAAAAGAATCTCTTAATTTTCAAATTCACGATGGACACATTTCAAAACGCCCTTCATTTTATATATTATTTTATTACATAATTATTATGTTTCTATGGCTCCAACAAGCTGCACATGACTTTCCTGCTCAGTTTTAGACAGATTTACTCCAGAGTTTAGATGAACCAATGAGGAAAAGATCCATATTAGACAATTTTCTTCTGATCGGCTATGACAGGTGATCGACAGGCAAACCTTTTTTTCTTTATCTTTTAACAGAATTCATATGAGAAACTATTATCAGAATATAAAAGACATTAAATATTAATGGTAAATGAAAAGAATCTCTTAATTTTCAAATTCACGATGGACAGATTTCAAAAATACCCTTCATTTTATATATTATTTTATTACATAATTATGTTTCTATGGCTCTAACAAGCTGCACATGGAATCAAACTATTATATCAAACCCTGTCAGATATGAGGAAATTAACCATACATATTTCTTCCAAATGTTGCAGTTTTTATGCTTTTCAGTTAATATTTTTAAGCAAACTACAAAAAAAACCTAATTGAAATTGAAGATATGAGGTTTTTTTTGCAACACTGCAATGATATTCAAATATAAACAGCTTAGGTCCTGCTGGAAGGAGACGGGTTCTGGTGTAAAATGAGAGGAAGAAGGTATTAATATAAAACAAACAAACTAGATTATAGTTGGAAAAGAGGATTCAGCATAAAAGAAATTTTTTTTTCTAAATGTCTGATTAAACTAAATTGGATTTTTGACCATAATGCCTACTTTTATAATTGGAGGAACAAGGAAAGCACAGAATCACTGTCCCATGTGAAGTACGGTGGTGGCTGCATCATGTAAAGGGGGTCTTTTTCTGTAGGAAGGACCGGTTCATTTTATAATGCACCTGGCTTCATAATGGCAACGAGAGTTATGTAGAAATATGGACTTCTTTAGGCTTTTTTAGCTTCTTGATATTCTGCTTCAAGTTTTAAAACATTTTTTTAAAAGTTATTTTTTATATATTTTGTTTTTTATTTTTTATTTCAACTTAAACTAAGATATTAAAGAAATTTAGAAAATATCTCCTTGGGAAAATGAAAGAAATTAATATTATTTGCTGAACCAAAAGAAGGCTATCTTGTTTTGGGGGTTATGCTTTATAGGGCCATAGGGGGCGCCACTTGCTACGCAATAGAAAGAGAAAAGTTGGTCATTTCAACTTATTTTCATGTCAGAACTTTGTATTTTTTCCGGGTTTAAATTGGACTCATCTGCTGACATTTGCTCCCACTTTGATGATATGCTAGATTTTGCACAAAAAGAGCTTAAGAGGCAGAAACCACAAATTGAATTTATGAAGTCAAACGTAGTCTGTGTGCAAAAGGCCATTTGAGACAAACAATCATACCTGATACAGATGTTTGAGATCGGCCTGTTTTTCCAGTGTAGTCCTGTATCTCTGCTTCTGTCTCCTTGAACCCCAGT